ATGGAACAGTGCCAACTGCAGTAGTAGTAGTAGTAGTAGTAGTAAAGGGAACCCAATTGGAGCCATTCATTATACATAATATTATAACGTAGGTATGCGCAGCTTGTACATATAGGTATACAAAATAATACAATATATTTATACGTTATACATGTAGGTATATTATACACGTTCAGGAACGACAATCGCCGCCGAGGTTTCACAGGACAAAAGTCACCACCGCCCGCGCTACCGCCATCATTTAATTGGACATCGACTGTTAAGCGAGACACATTGCTGCGGTTGTTAAAAAGTGTATACGCCTATAAATATATTATATGTAGTTATGTACATGCACACTGTACCCAAGTACATGCAACAAAACTATTATAATGCATAACGCTTGTACGCCATGTGGGGGAACGGGTTTTCGTAACAACAATTAACCCCTCGCCTCTCTATGAATAAAAAATGATACCAGACTTCATATACCTACATAATATTATTTACACCGAAACCTCAACGTTGAACGGTTTAAAATCGCTTATCGTTATATCTTTCAAACCTCCAAGTTGGCGAAAATTTGTGAATAATTTTAAATGTATTTCTGCTACTTACTTCTGTACATAGTATTATATTACAGACTATTTCCTGAGCACAGCACAAGTTTTTCGAATTTAACTAGTCTTTTTTTATTGGTAATTTTAGATTTAAAAAAATATCAAATATATATTATGTAATTTGAAATATATCAGGTTATTGTATATAATCTAGTTTGAGACCTGTTTTTATAAAAGAAATATTCATTAAACAAATTTTATGATAAATTCTCAAGATTACAAATATCGGATTATAATTAAGTCGTTGATAAAAATATCCATAGGAAAATGCATAATATCGTTACTAGAAAATATAGAGCAAGATTATTATTTATCAACTATACATAAGTATATATACATACATAAGATGTCTGTTGGAATTATAATCCAAACACCATATTATACATATTATGTAGTCAGTAGGTCGATATAATTCTTAGTAAGCATATTTTGTATTTTTTGTTGACCGAGTATTTATTAATAATTGTAATTAGGAGACAGTCGTCGTTTTTACTTATACGTGTACACGTATTGATATTACACATTTTATTTGTTATACTTATTCAACCCTTTTATTATCTGATACGCTTCTGAATAAGGACCGTTTTATTCCAACAATGTCTAACGTGAAAATCAAATTAATGTTGGAGATGAATTATTTTATTAAAAAAATGTTTTACATATTTCATATATCATAGCATGGTGAGCTTTTTTATATTTATGTATAACATCTATAACCATACACATTACATACAAATAAAATAATAAAACCCTTTGCCCGTTTTATTGTGAGCAGAAGGTAATAACGTCACCATTTTCTACTTAACAGAAAATTCTACCCAAAAAACCCGTAGTGAAGACAAAGCTGGAATCTGAACCCTATTTTATTAAAATTCAAAGACCTACTTGTCCATTTATCGACCGAATTTCCAATGACCGAAAGCGAAATTAAAATAATGTTTTAAAATTAAAACAGATATTTAAAAATAAAAATAAATATATATTATACAAGAGTAAAATCCTTAGACATTTTTTCAACCAATATTCTCTTGAGATGAATTATTGTAAGTGTATTGCAGTAAAAGCAAAATACTCATTCATAATGAATACTTTTTTGTTTGATATTCGTTGAAAAAATACATAAAAGACTATAAGAAAACGTCACGTTAAGGACTATAACCATTTGAAAATTCTGGATTACTGAGATCAATAAGGTTAACATTCTGTCAAGTATCATACTTATGTTATTGTTGTAGTTTTTTAAACGAAACAATATCCGAACATTGAGTACTTATAAATAAATTACCAGAGATTTTCTAAAAGTTAACGACTATTATTTATCATCCATTAATGAAAAAAAAAAAGATAACCCAAGCCATTAGGAAAAACTCCATATATTAAAAGAAACTATTCAGACACAAAAGTATAAATATAAAAATAAAACATTAAGTATTGCAAAAACAATACCTTCTTAGACCCGCACAGGGACAATGTAGCTAATCTGCTAATTTGCGATAAAAGAAAGTGTTATCTTAAAAAAGTATTTACATTTCGCATCCAAATCTCAGTATCCAAGACGGATGAAACACAATATTGCCTCTGTTACATTATTTTGTCGACGACTCATTTTCATTTAATTAATTTAACAAAAGTCATCCGAAGAAAATCTAGATTATTCTGTCTAACAAAGCGAAACGACAAGTGTACATTTTATAAGAGAATTTACAGGAATTGCGGTCCTATTTGATCGCGAATAAACATACTTAAGCAGTATATAGTACACAATAGCGCGGGTACCTACATAATATTATTATTATTATTTTGTTTGCGGATCACCCCAAAGGCATTCGCCGATTGTAATGAGAGTCTGCAAGAAACGTGACCGACTGCGATCAGTCATTTAACCGAATGCAATACAAAAAAAACCCTCTTTGTTTCGGTTTTTTTTTTTTTTTTTTGTAAAGGATCATCACCACTGCACTGTCCGTAACGATCAAGGGCACATTTTTCTCTTCGTCTAATCAAAAATGTAATTTACAAAAATAAAAAATCTACGATACACGTTTGGTCTTGGCAAAGACCGGAGCAGTTTCGGCGTTCGCTTTAAAAATAAAATTAAAAAGAAAACGTCCAGACAGAATGCGTCATGTCAAAATACTAAACGTACGTTTTATACGACAGTAGGATATCAATAAGGGCGGCAGTTCAAACAAAACTGCCACCGGGATAAAACAATTATCGCTATGATATTACTACAAAGGTATTTATTTTTTGAATTTAATTGGTGCAACGACAACGGCGAACGAGGATTTACGGATCCTGAAAACTATCAAAAGCAAAAACGAATAGACGGCCAAAGTTTTTGTTTTTAACGCAGATGGAATATTTGGTAGATTCCTATGAACAATACCTCTTGTTATTTGTGTACTAAGCGACACCAAAAATGTATTCAAACTTTGCTCCGACCGGACTGTTGCGAATGAAATAAATACACATAAATATTTCGCTTTGCCGGATTTACAATAATTCCAAATGATCATTCAAGGTAAACCCTCTGTTGAAAAAAAAGGTCATTCTGACGAGAAGAACATATTTTAGTAAAAAAAACTGCGAAAAAAAATGTAAACGACATTTTTTATCTTAATTGAAGGCTGTTAACGTGTTACGTCTACACAAAAACAAAACAACAAAATTGTAGTATTTAAATAAAACGAATTTACATATATATATATATATATATGTATTTACAGTGGGTTCGTTGAAATGTACCCCATCCGGCCCTACCTAAAAGCCCGTTAAGGTAAACATAAATAATTGAAGTAAACGCAATATATTATATCACCAAAATATTATTACCAAAACAAGTTTGCCGAAACACAAAATATCACATTTGACATGTCGCCAACAAACTTTGTGTTCGCACAACGACAGGCGTGCATATTTTGTAAATTAAATCAAACGAGCGTTTGACTAATTGCAGATTCACCGTTTCGGAAATACATTTATATGTATATTGTTATACCTAGTTATGGTTATTCGATAATTATTCTTGTTGAACGATTGTCGTCGTCACAACAGCAGCACAACACTACGTTTATTTCGCCGTTTGTGTTTCGGTCATACAATCATTATTATTATATTATAATCGGCTTAGACCGAATCATTGGACCATCGACGCCGTTTGGTAACCATTGAAAAACCTTCCTCGTACATAGCATAGTACACACAGCACAGCGGTTAGGTTAACACGAGTTATCAGGATAGCGCATCATGTTTTTATTACTATACAGGTTAGTCGTGCCGCGCACCAACGAATACGGTTATAAGAAGTACTTTTTTTTTTTTGTCTGTTAATAAACATAACAACAATTCCATCCAGCCGTTATCATAAATAATTATTACGATACGAATTCATTTGTTTGATTTCGTCCAGACTCTACTCGAAACGTCTCTACCGGATAAATACGGTCGTTAAGACTGCACGACGACGGTGATTTAATTACATAGAAATCGGTTATTAATAATTAGACAAACTGCGAACAATATAATAGATTTTATTATTCTTGGAACGTGCACGACCGTAAAAACATAGTTTCCCAAGACGGGACACCGTTTTTTTCTTCGTCGTTGTCCGCCGGAATTGATCAAACCCGAAAGGTCGCGCGTTTTGTACCGACAAATATTTTTCTAAAAGATAATCGAAAAAGGTCCCGGACGCGTGTCGACAGGCAGAAAATACCGAACGCGTTTTTGTCGAGATAAATATTTCCAACCGGACAATGATCGGAATAAAAGTCCGTTTTCAATAATCGCCGTTTGCCAGTAGTACCCGAATAGTACCTAGCCAGATAATATTCTCAAGTTATGCTACAATAACAGCAGGTATATTGCCGGTTATGCTAAAATTTTCAAATAACTCCAAATAGCCGTTATGCGAGCGGCGGTCTCCTTGGCTATCGGCGGCAAGTAAAAAAACAAAAAATCCTTTATCATGTTTATATTCACACAAACATAATGGTCTAAACTAAATTTCAATCCTATTTGAATTTTTTGCTTTTTTTTGTTCTGTTGGTCTCAAACACAGACGCAGACTGGGGCTGCGAACGCCGTCTGAAACGAACGACCGACGCGTTTAAACCGGTTTACCGCGTGTGTGAGTGTGTGTTTGTGTCGAGTTCCGCTAAAAAACATTACGATAACGCGTTCACGGTGCACGGCACTCGTTCATTACATACCTACTTCTCGCGAGACGCAAGTCACAACGATAGAAGATATACAATACTATAATATTATAGGTATATTATTCCGTCTGTGCGAGGGCTGTCGATGGGCGCCGATACGGCCATTGAAGCCGACTGGCGGGGACAAGACGTGTGTAAATGCGCCGAGTGTAATTTAATAATATTATGATATTTTACGTACTTGCAGAAACACCGAAGAAAAAGGCCGTAGATCGTTTATTCCTTTCTGATCGCGAAGGGTTTACCTACACACACACGCGAACGCACCGCGCCAAAACGGAAAGGAACGACACACGGTTGTTTGAATCGGAGATATTTTTTTTTTCGCGTCCACGACGATGGCAAACGATATAATATAACAACAGAAATACGCGCAGTTAACGGCGAAAATCGAACAGCACAACAAATCAAAATCGCAAATACACACAAATTTCAAAACGAACGGCACACAACGCGTACACGCGGCGCACGACGACGGTCACCCTAAGGCAGCGGAAACGGCACACGCTACGACCAAGCGCCGACTGTAACTGACTCGTGTTCGAACCGTTTCGACGGTGTGTGGCGGTCGCGCGCCGGCCGGTACCGCGGCGGCTGCTCGTGCACATGTGTTGTGTTGGGCCGGTTCGACGTTCGACCCGGTGTCGTCGGCCGCCGTCGTTTTGTACGAAAATCACGCGGTATTTATTATTGTACCTACCTACATAATGTATAGGCTACATTCAGAGTTGTGCAAATTCATATATTCGAAAACCACTATTCCATCTGTATGCCTACTAAAAAGAAGTCGCCAATTTCGTTTTGGGCTAATCAGTCGGTTTGTCCAATTTCGCCCCATTGGACATTTTCTGTTGCTGCGACACAGTGTCCCTCTTAAATAAGTTGTAAATACAAAAATATACGTATATGTATACATTTGGGTTGTATACGTACGTACAAGTCAATTGTTGTTATCGAAACACGGTGGTCAGTGGGACGACGTACACGGCCGGCAGAAAATATCCCACCCTCTCGTCATATTTTATTTGATGAGAAACAAACCAAGGGTGTGTGTGTGTGGAAGGTGCGGTCCATATAGTTAATAGACGTACGGGTTTCCCTATAAACATTGCGCACAACTGCACTTTTCGGTTATAAAAACGAGGGTCAAACGAGCAACGAGTTGCAACGACAATAGCAGCTGCCCCGGTCGTGCTATTGTGTAGTTAAAAACCAATATTTCGGTGGAATTTCAATGGAAAACACATGGCGTCGATATTCATCCGATTTCCACTTGTTCTCCGGTGCATGGACACAACGGAAACACGTCTGGTTTCGATTCTATTCATAATAAATAATAATAAAATGTACATTTTTATCTTACTCGCTATTAATAAATAATAAATAATAATATACTGTGAGCGATAGTCTAATAAAACGAGAACCAATATATAAACTTTTCCCCGAATCTGCCCTCAGATAGTTCTATTAGTAATGTAGATTTTTTTAAATCACCTCCAAAGTTGTAAATATCCAGAATCCCCAATTGGCAATTTATTTTTGTACAAAAAGACAAAAGTACTACAAATCCTATAATAATTCTGAGACCAGTTTAGAATTTAGAAAAAAAAATGAATTATAAATAATATAAAATTATAGTTAATATTTAGTAACTATAGTTAAATTATAGTACATTTTATAAAAGTATCCAAACGTACATAACATGCTAAACATACTACAAAACGGTATTTCTTACAACTTTCAAGATGATTTAAGAAATAACTAGTGTTCATAAAATCTAAAAAAAAAATTTGAATTATGGTTCTTATTCTAAAAAAAAATATTGGTATATAATGTTTTACAACAAAAATAATATTCAAATATCCGTTATTGATTTATAAGTAGCGTTTTAGAGATGTGACCATTTAATAACTTGTACATAAAAAAAACATCAAAATAACGACGTCTCTTTATTAAGGGATCTAAGTAAAAACTTTAATCATGCGAGTTAGGCTCTACGTTACTGTTGGTATTAAAATGTAATTTTTTAAAAGATAAGTAGCGGTAAAACCTACGTTGTACCCGCTCTAACAGTTCGATTGAACCAACCTGTAAAGGATTCCAAATAATGCTCCCATATTCTAAAATGGGTCTTACCAACGAGTAATATAAAGTTTTAAGACAGATTGTGTTATTGAACTCCTGGATATTATTACGTATAATAAAGCCTAGGGCTCTTAATCCTTTTGATCTTATGTGCTTGATGTGTGACGCAAATGATAAGTTTGATTCCATAATTATTCCTAAATCCTTGGTAGATGATTGCTCATCCAGAGATACCCCCAATGTTGTAAGTATAGTCAATTTTGTTTTTAGTCCTATAGTAGGATATTTTATGATATTTAAATACATTTAGGGACAAATTATTTACAGAACACCAACTACTATATCTATCTAATTTGTTTTGTAAATTAAGGCAGTCGTCTGTGGATTTTATAGTACAGTAAATTTTTAAGTCGTCAGCAAATAACTGATGCTTACTGAATTGGAAACAATTTTCTATATCCATTATAAGAATTAAAAATAGTAAAGGGGATAGGTACACCGGATGGAACATAGAAATGATTCGATAAATATCCATTAACTTTTACAACTTGCGATCTGTCCGTCAAGTAAGACTTTAACCACGACAAAAGAGAGTTTGAAACACAATAATTGGAAAGTTTATTAATAAGTAAGGAATGGTTAACCGTATCAAACGCCTTACTAAAGTCCGTATAAATTGTATCTGTTTGAAAACCTTGTTCGGCAGGACTCACTAATTTATTACAAAAACATAATAAGTTTGTTTCTGTAGATTTGCCTTTAACATAACCACGTTAGCTAGAATTAATGGCATTCCTAAAAGCAAACGAAAGGGATGGCACTAATAGTTTTTCAAAGAGTTTAAGAAGCGATGTTAATTTAGAAATGGGTCTATAATTGTTAAAAGTTAAAAGTCATTTAAGATAAAGTTGTTAATTTTACAGCTAAAAGTTTATTAAGGCATTTCTAATTTGTATTTTAAAATATAACAATTGTTTAACAAATAAATAATATAATATATGATATCACATTATTTATCATAAGTCAAACATAAATCTTAATAATAATAAATATGTCAAGGTGCAAAAATGTTTTAATCGCAGTTAATATCAAAAAACTTAATACTTACATTGTTAAATAGAAATGGGTATCAAAGAAAAAATTCAATTTTCAAAAAATATTAGTTATTAGAATAGTTTTTTATTATTAATCTGTGATAAGAATTAACACTTTTAACTGTGTTTTTTCGAAGAAGTAACTCGTTTGTCAAACTTTGGCAGCAGGCAAAGCTACATTTAAGTGAATTAATTTTTCATCCACATGACCTTGTTTATACATGGTTATTCAAATTTCAAATTACATTACATTTTATTATAATATTTTAAAATTTAAATAATCTTGTATACAATTTAATAGTTCATTTTTCTTGGTTTATAAGCAATTTATAGTGGAAAATAAGTAGGTAAGTATTTTTAATTTTTAATAACAGTATAATACATAAAAAAATAATTAATTATTCGAAGACATAATTTATTTGATCATAAATTGATCAAAGGGGATGAACATAGATAGAGCATAAAATAGCATAGTAAAAATAACAAAATTGCTAAAGTTAGGAAATAATGATGGAATAGTTGCAAAAATATAATACAAGTTATTGCAAATAAACACTTTTTAAAAATATCTCCTAGTGAATAATAACCTTAGATAAAAACAGTGTCTTTGAAGTATTTTAAGTTGCCTATTCAAGCTATGAAAGGTAGCGTTTTTGGTTATATTAATTTTTTCCCTACAAACAATGCATGTGTAAAACATTAGTTTTACATTGTAATGTGAATACCATACTTTACAATGTACGTCAGAAACATATTTTTAAGTTTGCCGATGCTCTGAAAACGCTTTTAAATTAGAAAAAGAGCTGAAACATTTAAAAAGAACCTAGCCTTAGGGTGGAAATATTAAAAACACCATAGTTATGATATAGATTTTGCATCCGATTAAACTTCAAAACAGTATAAAGTAACATAACATGAATCGATATTTGCCATACGGTGTTAAGCTTAATTATTAAACAATAAGTAATTAATTTGGCAACTCATTTATCTTTATTATATATTCATTCTAAAATAAATTCAGTATCATGTCGTTACAAAAGTAATCAATTTAACAATTTTAGCCTTGTGTAGTTTATCTGTTATTTTGAGAATGATATTTAAAATAACTTCTATTTTTGCGCATAATTTAAATTTACGGGTGCCAGTAATAACCACTAAACCCTATCCAACTCAACCATGAAGCAAACTTTATTTTTTCATATTAATATTTCAATCGCAATCACTGAATGAAAATTACTCTACTTAGCATAAAATTCAGAGAAAATGAGTGTCTTACGTTAGATGGATCACCCACGTTTTTGGGATCTAAAGATTTAAACCGTTTGTGCTCATAAAATATTTAATCTTCTTTGCGCGAATAGTTACATTGATAAATAACATACTGTTAAAAACTACAGAATATAACGATTTGAATGATATATAATTTAATAATTTTAATATACTATAACATTTTATAATCAGCAATTAAAAATACATTTTTTTCTCAATACTTCTTTTTGTATTTTTCTTGAATGCATAACTAGTGTAAAACAGAACACAATCGTTTATCAATAGTCTACCATCTATGTAAAATTTTATAAAGAATTATACTGTGTACATATTTGAATTGTTTTACTTAGTAAAAACCGACAAAGTCATAAAATCACTGAAATTAACATAAAACTTGAAATTATAACCACTTTTATGAATCAGTGGCACGTATAGAAGGCACTTTTGATAACCACGATTATAATATGGTTATAATATGGTCACGGTGGTTACATTGATAATATTTTATCGATATTGATAAACATACCCAAAAACAGATTAATTTTACACCTGTTTTTATACTGATAAAAAAGTGGCTACCATGTATGCCGCAGTTACGTAAAAGTAGAATGTTCAAATATATTAATGCGCGTTACAGTCTTTATAAATGGTGGCTTCTATCATCTATGGATGCCACAGTTGTCTTATTTATTAAATTTTAATTTTAGATCTGCGCGTTAAAGGGTTAACGACTTTATGCCTAGTTCTTAATTGACTAAAATGTTCATATTTTTGCCAACTGTTCTTTCATACATAATAACAAAAAAAAAACCTTTGTCGATTAAAGATATTATTTAATTTCATTTATCTCTCAAAACGGTTAGTATAATATGTGTGTATTTCAATAATATATAAACAATATAGATTTTACACGATATATGAACAAAAAAACATTTCGAATGTATTATATAGTAGTATTTTACTGACGAGAGTTTATAAATGCAGCAATGACTTCGAAGTTGATGTATCTCAACGCGTTGTGGCCCAATAGATATTGATGAAGTATTTTCATTTTTATTAAGTTA